CGCTATGGCGATTAAAAGCATTACGAAGTGGGATGATCCTCCAAGTAGTAAACAACTATAACTATGGTTTATGGTACGCAAATAACTATAGTATTCATGGGGTTTTTGTTAACCAACGTTCACATCACTGGGGGGCCCCACATTGTAGTAAACAGGTTAATCTCAATGTACACCGAACTGAAAATGATCCTATTTCCTGATAGTCAACTAGCAGGGCGACTTATGATGGGATCATATGGGGATTTAACAAAAGGGGCTTTTCACTGGAAAACCATAGGAAAACCATAGGAAAACCATAGGAAAATGGAGGTTTTCCCTCTGGTTATGTCAAAATAGCTATTGAAGCCATGGCCCAGTCGAAATAGTGAGTTTTCCCAGCTATAAAATGGGTGGATCTTTCCATAGTTATGTAAACGTTTACCAGAGGGTTAGTCCTCATGCTTCAAAGTTTCCTTTTTTTCAGCATGTTCTCAAAAGCTCAATATGCACAACTATGTCACAAAGAAATGTTTGGATATAAGCCACCGATCATTGGCATTTCTCGCCAATATCTTCTGGAAAAACATCAACCGCCCACAAGAACTGCAAACATAAGATGGACAAACATTGAACATTCTCTGCAAATGGATGGTAAACATTTTCTGGTTGGTGGTTTGGAACATTTTTGATTTTTCCGTATATTGGGAATAATCATCCCAACTGACGATTTTTTTCCAGAGAGGTTGAAACCACCAACCAGAATATAGTTATGCAATTTATGCATCCTAAACAAAGCTATTACTGCAGTTACGCAATCTCCATGAATATTTATGATTGACTATATCAATCCTTACTAGGGGTTGGTAAAGGCCTAATTCTTCACCTCACCCAACAAGGGGAAATTTCATCTCCAACCAATACTTTTTTGAAGTGCAACAATTCCAAAACCGGCCATTAACCAAGCCCTGTTCATTAGTTATGATATTGATCCCTATTACAGTTATACATATCATATATATATAATTATATATATATATTACATACATAGAGAGAGTCATAAATCCACCCAGATTATGATTTCAATCCCTGTTCATGAGTTATGCTGAGGTTTTCCCCGTTCACGATCAACGGCGCCAGGCTCGAAGCTCTCGGCTTCGCTCTGCTTTCTCCGAACGCCTACGACCTCGGCCGTCAGGCCATGGGGGTTTGTACCAGCACAACGGGGAGATCTAACATGGAAAATTGGGCAACATTTCTCCAATATGGACATCAGGCAATGGGGATCTGTTCTACTGGGGATATGTGAACATATTAGGATATAATATATACGGGGGATATGATGGGATCGAATGAATTGAATGGCAAATTGATTTGAACACATAATGGGTAATGTAATTGGATGTACCCTCTGGTTATTTAACATAGATCCTGAAAACGGCCAATTTTACTGGAAACGAATCTTCCGAGCCTTGATTCATGGCAGGGTCTATGTCAATTTGGGGGAGGGCAATTCGATTCAGATAGGTAGAACTGAATCATCTTTCATTCAGCTGTCCCACATTCTATATAATTCTAATGGGATTGCATCTAGATATTCAGAGATTTAGAATTACAAATTTCCATCTGGTTATTTAAGATAGCCATGGAAAGATCCACCATGATTAAGAACGGTAAACCATCTATTTCTATGGGCCATCTATACCATGGGATGGACATTGGGGGATCTACCCATCGGACTGGCAGTTTATGGCATATAGATACAGTGAATAAGGGCTTTAAACCAGCAAACGTAAACTGCGGGGCACTACCTTGTAACCGCCATCAAATAAGATGATTGAAGATAATCTGGGACAACATGTTTCTAACATGTTTTAACTATCAACAGTTGTGTTTAATCCTTATGCAATCCAATGATATAGGGTTCAACCAACCCACAGGGGAAGATAACCTACAAAAATGGGGGGGTGGTAAAAGGGCCATATTCAGTGTAATCCGAACATAGGATACAGCTAGGGTTGTCCGTCAGTGGATGTAAAGATTAATGGGAGGCCAACACTGAACATGCTATGAGTGTTTTTTAGTATCAGGGATCCCAGTAGTCCGCCTATTTTACCCTCTGGTAAACGTTTACATAACTATGGAGAATCGCCATTTTCAATGGGAAAATCCACTATAAATGGTCATTTTCAATAGCTATGTTAAATTACCAGAGGGTATTTATTTTTTCCGCCCTCAATTTATCAAATGCCCACATGACAATGCTGACTTTCCGATCATTTTTTTAAACATATTTCCGCTGGACAATTGGTTAAAGAACCAAAACGGAACGTCACCTACAAACGATTTTGCAGAATAAATGTATGCCAGATGTAAATGAATAGAATTCCAACAATCCGAGGTACTTGTATATGTATGAATATATCTTTATATATGTACATTATATATATTATACATCTATGTAAATGCGGATATCCAGTATATCCCAGGAAAAAATCTCATGTCTGTTGCTGAAAACCCTCCATTTCCAGGAAGGATATCGGCCAGTGGTGTCGGCCTTTGGCAAGCCGGCGCCCTCAGCGCGGCCTTGGCGGGTGTCCGGAAAGTCCGTGTCTCGCGCGGGCGGAGGTTGCGTGCCTTGGCGCGGGAGGAATGATTTGGGTATGGGTCAATACCTATAGATACATTTTTAGTGGGATGAACATCCATTTACCAGCTATTTTGGGGTTCACTAGGTACCAGGGTTTTGACCCATCCCCATTTATTGGGATCTGATTGGGATTTTATGTGGGACTGAATGGGACTTTTTTCGGGACTCCGGAAAACTAACATAGCTATGGAAAATTACCAATTGGTAGATCATTTGCCTATTATAAATGGTGATTTTCCATAGCAATGTTAAATTACCAGAGGGTAATGGGACTCAATCATGGGGATAATATGGGATAATATTTTATCATTTATTCGAATTAATGGGGATAACATGGGACTTAATGGTAGTATGGAATTTCACCAACAACAATAGGTGATAAATGGAGGATATAACCAAGAAAATGGTGGTTTTAATAGGGAGAATGATGGTTTTACATGCAAGAAAATCATTTTGATGGGATATTTCATGGGGATAATGAAATGGAGATATAACCATCCATAATGGATAAATGATGGTTTTACAGTGGTTTTTTTCCAACTAGAAAATGGGGGATTCATGGGAATTAGCCTCTGGTTATTTAAGAGTTTGCGAACTGGAAGCCATGGCCCATTTCTATATATGATTTATGATGATTTACCATTCTTAAGAATGCCGGCTTTCCATAGCTACGTTAAATTACCAGAGGGTAGGGGGATATTGACAACAAGAACAACATTGAATGGGGATAATTAATAGTGAATAGTTAGAATGGGGAGGAACTGGCAAAAGGGCATGAGATAAAGAAGATGGATGGCTATCGCTTATTAACCAGAAAAACTTATTTGCCAAAAGAACATGTTTACTGGGTATAATATCATCAACGAAATGGTTCCAACGTAACATAAGAGTAATGTAAAGATTTAAGGCTTCACACACCCACAGTGGTGTAGAACCAAAACATGTATTCCCAAAGTTGGCATGTAGGTACGGCATGGGTTTTAGAAGACATATATTGAGATTGTGCAGCTTGGTGAGAAACAGGTGGGCCAAAAAAACTCCTTACCCTCAGGAACATATTGTTTGCTGGAAAATCCTCCATTTACTTTGAGGATTTCCCCGTTTATAGATGTTTTTCCCAGCTATCTAAGCCTCCATTGATAGATGATTTCCCATCTATTCCCAGATTTTCTGTAAAGTTGGAATTTTCAAGCCATTTTTGGTCGGGATTCAGCCATGTTTGTTGACACCAGAGGGTGCGTAGCTCTGCCAGGGCACCTGTGATCTGCCTCAGGTGCTCAAAGACAAGTGTTGAAGGTGCAGAGATTGGTCGACCAATCAAACCTATGAGATGCC